AGAACACCTTTTTCTAAGAAAAAATCTTTGAAATGAAGTTCTCTAGCATTATCAGACCTAAAGCTTTTAATTTTTGTTTGAAATTGGTTTTCAACATATGCAAAGAACTGAGGGATGATTTTAATACAATCAGACTTATTCTGGAGCATGTATATCCATGTGAATCTGCTTTTATCATCAACTAGAGTGAGAAAATATCGAAATCCATCATATGTAGGTTGTTTAAAGGGTCCCCATATATCAGCATGAATTAAATCAAAACAATTGGGGCTGAATTTATTGGGATTAGGAAAAGGTAATCGATTTTGCTTAGCAATGTGACAAGTACTACAGTGATAAGTAGGATCAATAGAACTCAGTTTGATTTTATTGGCAATCAATTTGTAAACAGATACAGGTATGTGGCCTAATCGCTTATGCCAAGTCTCATAGGTGACACTATTACAGTTACTAATACAATCAGAATTAAGAATGTGTGTAGGGAATTCAAAAACCAGTAGGCCCTGTTGTTGCTTAGCAGTGCCAATCGTCCTCAATGTTTTGAGGTCCTGCAAAAGAAAACTGTTAGACTCCATAGTAAATCGAAATGGGTTATTATTTATTAAAGTGAGTAGTGACAAAAGATTGAATCTAAACGTAGGAATATAAAGCACATTATGCAGGAAGATATCATCATTTATCTTGATACTACCTATCCCTTCTACATTTACTTTAGTAGAATTGGGCAACAAAACATGAGAATTATGAATAGAAGTGTATGAGTTGTATAGTGATTTGGAACAGCAAATGTGAGAAGTGGCACCAGAGTCTATTATCCATATGTGAGAATTCTTGTGGAAATCAAGATTCATACAGGTACCTATGACATTGGAAGCCACTGCATCGAGATTAGTGTCTGTTCTCATTTGGTTTGTCAAAAAGGTAAGTAATTGTTGGCATTGGGCAGGGGTTAAAGTAGATGTCTGAGTGGTAGTGGAGCTTTCAAGGTTGTTATCCACTTGATTCACAGTATTGGGAGTCCTGTTCTTGAAATAATTTGGGGGATACCCGACAAGTTTATAACACCTGTCTTTGGTATGTCCTAGCATCGCACAATGACCACATTTTGGTCTCTCTTTCTTTACAAATTTGTTCTTACTGTTATCAATTTGTGGTTTTTGTGAGGAATTGACAGAAAAGGCTATGTTTTCCGAGTGAGTAGTAGAAGGAGGAACAATAATTTCACGTTGAGCTTCTTCTTGGAGAATAAGGGAGAAGACATTACCAATCGAAGGCAGAGGGTCAGATAGGAGAATTTGGCCACGTATTTGAGAGAAAGAATCATTTAACCCCATCAAGAAGGACATGACATATTCAGATTCTGTGTGTGTTTGGAGTTGTTGAAGGCCACCACATGTACAGGGGAATGTTGGCGTGTAACCGGACAATTCCTCCCAGATTGACTTCAGCTTTGTATAATACGTGCCAACATCATCGGGTCCTTGCTGAAGGGACATCAATTGGCGTCGGAGTTGGAAAATGCGTGGTCCATTCTTTCTTGAAAATATGATTTTCAAGTCTTCCCAGATTTCTTGTGCAGTTGTGGCAAACAAGATGCTCGTGATGATTTCTTTGGAGACAGAGTTGTAAAGCCAGGAGATGACCACGTTGTTCGCACGATTCCAAGCCGCGATTGTGGCGTCAGTTGCTGCAGGTTTAGGGAGGGTTCCATCAATGAGCGGTAATTTGTTCTTCACGGAGAGGGCTACCTGCATTGCTCTGCTCCATGTGGTGTAATTCTTGTGGTCAAGGGGTTGGGACGTGAGAACCAAACCTGGTCCATCCGAATGATGCAGAAAAAGGGGGTGATTTGGATCTTGGCTTGGATCTTTGGGTTCATTCGTCATGGTGGTGGGTAATTGATTTAGGGTGGCAGAGATGGTGGATTTGGAATCACAGGTTGGATCGTTCTAAGAGTTGATTTCTCTCTTCTGATACCATATTGAATATAGCAGCATGATAGAATTGAAAGAACAAGAAGAATATTGTGAATATTACTGATATTGCATACTGACCTAGTGAAGGTGTACAACTATATATATATACATGTATATCAGTGACTTGTAATAATCTGTAATATAACACTAACTAATCCAATATCACATAAAAATATGAATGTATTACAAATATATAACAATTAGATGCTAGTTAGTAAAATTAGAGGTGAGTAAAAGTAAAATAAGTTCATATATGTTTGATTCTACCTCGTTTAATGAACTCAATAGTATATACATATTAAATTAAGATGAGTCATGTGAAATTAGGATAAGTCAAGTAAAACCATCACACATCCTGAGTAGTATTATACATTACAAGTACTATTTTTCCTTAATATATTCATTATATCAGTTAAAATTTATTAAAAACAATAAAATGGAACCCGTTAATAAGAAGTAGAATACACTAAATTATTTTTTAATAAATTTTAATTAATAATACAGAAGTGTGTATAAAAAATGTGAAAAAAATCCAAATATTTAAGGGTTATTGATGGAATTAAAATATAAAATAATTCCAAAACATTAGGATTATAAATTTACTAAAAACTTGATAATGTTTAAAGAATTCAATAAGATGTGAAATTAGAATTTGGAGAAGAAAAAATTTAGACTAACTTTTAACTTGTATAAAATTTGATATTTTGGTTTCTATTTAATAAGTTTTAAGTTTTAAAAAAAAAGTTTCATAGATTTAATACGTGAGTATTCTAAGTAAAAAAATGATAATTTGAAAATCTTAAGTAAAAAATTGGCACAAAAAATCAAGTTTGTTAAATTTTAAAAATAAAGACTTAACTCTTGTCAATAAAATAAAAACAGACATAACATAATAAAAAAATGAAAAACCAACATCACACATAATTCAAACTATTTGTTAATTTATTATAATTTTATATTAATTAAAGGTACAATTATACTATTTTTCATAGTTTTATGTTAAATTATTACTGCACACATCATGAATTCACATTAGAACAACCATTAAACCGTGAAATGATATTCACTTGTTCAATGACCAATCCATCTATTTGTTTAAACATTAGACATGACTAAGGTCCACTGATGTATATTTGCATATATTAGTAGTGTAACTAAAAATAAAATATTTTAGTGAAATCAAGAGCTGAAGTAAACAATATTTAAGACCCAATTCTTTAAAGTTTAAACTTAAGAAAATAAATTTCAGTATTAAAATTTTGACTTATGTTTAGAAATTTTATCGAAAATTTAAGGTATTTTCGTTTAATTAATATTCTACAAAATACTTTATATTTTAAAAGATAAAAACGAATTTTTATTTAATTACGGTAAGTAATTTTATATTTTAATAAACGAGTTAGTGATAAGAAATTGAAATAATATATACAATCTTAAATTTAAGTACTGCTACTATCATTATGACTCATACGAATAAAAGAAAAACATAACAGGAACTAATTTTTTTTTCAAAAAAATACTTGTTTTCTAAATAAAACTAACTTTTATAGGAAGAAAAACTAAAATAAATCGACTCTTACAATGTTTGAAATAAAGGATGTATTCAAAACTATAAGAATAGACGAAAACGATGCGCCCACCCGTGTGTTTGGAAACTCTGGGGACGTGAAAACCGGGGTCAATTTCAGTTTGCCCCTAAAATAAAGAACCTACATGCATGTTTGAATATATGAGTCAATTCTCTTGAAATCGCGTCCATTCTCTCAAAAAAACAAGAAAGTAACGTGAAAGCTTAAACTACTTGCTTCCAATTTGACATGAAAAATCACGTCAGTTACCACCGAACCAAACATGCTATGCATATATTAGCTTCAAAGGGTACCTGAAAAAATCACGTGAAGCACTTGGTACCAAACTAGCTAGTATAGCAGATTGTAATCAAAACACACTGGCAAAGATAAATGGCAGGTTAGTTTATTTAGTTTTTTCATACGAAACCCAACAAGCTAGAATATGTTTTAAGAGATTCTTTCAACTGTGTCCTATGAAATCTGTATGACTCACATTAAAAAAGTCGCACCCGTTCCAAACAAATAACCAAAGCTAATACTTATACGTCCGTCCTTGTACATATTTTCCTTATCAGAAATCATTATCATAAGTAGATCACTTCATACTTGGATCAAAATGTACAGATGCTGATTAATCCCATGTCATCATACTTTCATACTTGCCAAAAATACTTGGGATATTGATTTGGCAAATGGGTCAGGCCGAGGGAAGGCACCAAAACCACTTGGTCAGGGATTCATGCACAAAAGAAACTACTCCGTCCATTATTAAAGGAAAGAGAGAAATTTGTTGCGTTCACAGTCCACAAACTTCTGCGATAATCACCTTAACTCCTCAAGGCATCAACCATTCTACAATCATGCTTCCTGCGACGGCATCTATGATGAGATTTTTGATCTAGCAAGGTGTTCTCCCCGACCATCTCCCTTTTAGAATCTACAGCTGGTGCAATTAAGGTCAAGTCAGTCTCTGAAACAGTCAATTACAGACTAGTTTTACATGCAACAAATGCCCAAGTAGATAATGCTTCGACGAAATTTGTATGAAATGCAAAAAAACAATAATCAAATAAGAACATACTACTAATAAATTAGAACCATTCAACCTATTCACTTTTGCATGACACATTGATTTGTGTGTTTCAGTCACGTGTAATAGAGGATCAGAGAAATCAGTTAAGTTCATCAGGGAAGCATTTTGTTTCTAATCATAATGAGAAATAAGCATATAGAATGAAGGTTCCGTTTAAACTTTCATGGCATGATATAGAAAAGCAACATAAATTCTTTTAGGTAGTCAGCAAATTTTCACCGGGCATAAGTAGAAATAGTAAAAATGCAATCTTGTATATGCGTTCTAGCTTTTTCTAGTGAGTAATCAATATCTTCAGAATATTCCATTTCCTTACCTAAAAAGTTACTATCAAAACAGTGATGACGTTTCCAAACAACCTTACATATTGGAAAGACAAATAATTAAGTTTTTGCCAATTGCCACAAATACAACATGCAGCTTCATATTAGCATTTTCAAAAAAATATTCTCTCAACAATGTTCACATTCACCACACAAAGGTCTATTCCCAGCTCGGCCAAATCACAATTTACAACATTACCAAGACAATTGTACAGTCCCATCCATCAACTTTGTGCTTATTGAGACCTCAAGCCCCAGCCCTCAACCTAGATTCTGAGAAGAGTTATATTGGCAAAGAGTCTCCCAGCACAATCTCCAAATACCTTTATGAGCATCTAGAAAGTCGGATCTACATTTTTTTAAAAACATGAAAGAAAACAAAATTGATGGCCTTTTTTCTAAAGGCAGCTGATGGAACAACCTATAGATCTTCCCACTCAAACACTACATAGTTGACAAGGGGAGGAAGATTGAAGCAATAAATTGCCACTGTTGTTTCTCCCAACAAGTTGTAACTTCAAATAGTAAAGGGTCCTCTAAAAAATTGGGATGCAGATTAGGTTATCAGAAGCTTTGGAATCCAAGTATGACTCTCCCAACAGCAGATATATTATCACTGAGGCCAAGTATGGTTTGGGGTAAACCAGGGAGACATTTTAAGTTAGGTTTTCTTAAAAAGGGGATGTTTGGCATATCAATATGAAAAGAAAACTTTGCAGGAAATGTTTCCTTCTTTAAGGAGTCGAAGTGAGAATATGATAATTTTCTTCTGCCAAGTCCTGACTTTGACTTTCAAATAAATACATTTTAAGTCCCCGTTATCCAGCAAAGCCTGGTTAATGGTTATACTACCTCGTGTTCTCTGGCATCATCCTCCAGTAATCTCTTGTCTATAGCCTCTTCTGTTGACAGTTCAACCCCTGGCACCAGGAGTTTATTCATAGGAAACAAAGCTGTCAATTTGGTGGCTTCCAGGCTGCCTCATTTGTTATGCACGTCTTTAACCAAACAGGTGCTCTTGCAGAAACTATTCACCAAAGTGGGACTCTTTTCATTTTCCCACTTTGGAATAGTCGAAGCTGGAAAACGCAGGTCAACACTGTGTTTTCCTTTTCCAGGCCATGTGGCTTTTTTATTTATTTTTTGTTTACTAATATACAAAATTGTTGCTGTCTTCCACATACATCCTCCACGTGGCACACACATTGAGAGCAGTAGATGCCACGTATTTTTAAAATTTTTTTAATCCTTGACACTGTCAAGTACTGCATTTTCAATTTTAGTTTATTTAGCTTGACAGAATTACTGACTGCGTTTTCAGTTTTTGATTTTTTTTTGTTTACAGGTACTGCTTCAAAGTGTGCGTCAAGAGTCAAGACACAATCCCTGTCAATGGGAATAGTATTTTCTTTCAATGGGTTTCAAAGGTCTGTCATCATCCCCTCTCCAACAAAACGGTGAAATGGCTCTATTATATTCAACATCGATGATCACAAGAATCAAAAGAGTCAACTAGTCATGTATATGTATCCTCCCCCTTTCAACAATTCAACAAAAAATTTCCTTCTCTTTTCCTAGTAAGAAAAAGGCCCACTTTTTCCTGATAATTTAATATCTAGCCAAATGTCATCATGGAAAGTACATGATAAACTAAGATTCGTTAATATTTAGGATGGATGTAATACTTTTGGGCAACCTAAGCACCAGATGTTTCTTGGGCTCTTTTATGCAGGCAAAGACACAATGTAGCGAGAAAGAGATTCGCAGTTTCAAAATTTGAAAGGGTGTAAGAGCATGTTAAGAGTGCTTTCAATAGGCTTAAAAAATTAAAAAAATTAAAAATAAAACGTGCTTTTAATAGAAAATGTAGCACCTAGGTGGGTCAAGCTAAATTAAAAGAATATATATGAAAAAGCAGCCAGTTGCTACATCAAGCTCTAAATAAATAAATAAAAATGAAAATGCTGTACTAGACAGTGTCAAGCATTGAAAAAATTAAAATAATAAATAAATAGAAAATATGGCATTTATTGCTCTCCACTTGTAAGTCCTGTGAAAGATGCATTGGTCCGTGTCAACTTAAAATAAAACACAGTAGCATCTTCCACGTGTGGAAGGCAACAAAAATTTCTTATATTAAAAATCAAAAAACTTGTGGCTTGGAAAACACAAGTTGACCAACATTTTTGAGTGTTGACTAACCCAAAGTAAGAAAATATTTCGAAACAGGCCCCACTTTGGTAACTAGTTTATGAAAGAGCCCTAGTTTGGTCAAAGACCCTTGTTATGCTGCTGGTGGATTTCAGGTAGTAACTAGTAACAACAGCAATTTCAAACAATTTTCTCTTTGTAGCACAACATGGAAGTCATGTTCCTGAGGGCATGGCTGGGGATGAGGTTTGTATGGATTAGGGTCTGACCCATCTTGGTAGGGGTGGGCAACGGGCGGGTTCGGTCGGGTTCGGGTGAAAAATGTTCAACTCGTTGTAAACCGATTTTGGAAAAAATATGACTCATATCCGACCGACTGAGCTTCCGGTTTGAGGCAGTTCGGGTTGCAACGGATTCGGATTTGTGCGGGTGGGTACAATCGGGTTTGAGATTTTTTGTGGACCAAGTTATTTTAACGAAAGTGAAGCTTAAAACGGTAAAAAAATATTTTTAAAACAGTGTACAAAAATAGAATGAAGGTAACAATAGATGATGTAAGTAGATTCGTAGATAAAACATTTACAAACTAAAGAAGCAAAAACAAAAGATAACAAAATCCATAGTTGTTACATGCAAAAGAAATCTAAAGTTAGATTACAAAATCTATAAGAAACTACTGTCGCACAAGTTATACTCAAAATAGAGATAGGAAAATGGAAAAGAAAGATAAAGAAAGAAACAAAAAGAAAAATCTAAAAATAGACTAGTGTGTTGAGAAATTGAATGAGGAAGGAGAAGAAAAAAGAAATATCTAGGTTATGAAAAAAAGAAAAAAAAAATAAAGACTTTTGAATTTGGACCATTGTTGTTTAGTTATACAAAAGTAATAAAAATAAAAATTTATCTCATTTTCGGTTGGGTTCGGTTTTTAGCGGGTTTAAAAATTTAAAACCGAACCCGCCCAATATAACCCGTATAAAATAAAAATTTTAACCCGATTTACCCGTAAAACCTGCCCGAACCCACCCAAAAGTAATATTTTTTATCGGGTTTTCCGGGTTCGGTTCAAGTCTCGGTTTTATGCTCACCCCTACATCTTGGGCTACTTGTTCTATCCAAAATCTATTCAGAGCTCAATGGAATGTTCATACTTATTCCTTCTCCGTCACAACCAATGGAAAAGTTCCCTTGATATTTTGTTTTCATTTTTGTAACTGTACCCTCCCGATTCCAATACTGACCCATGTAATGGTTGGTACTTGTCCAACTATAAGTTTGAGAGTATAAATGCCAGGTTCTTTGATACTCCACCAACAACATACCACCAGGTTGGTATATGGCACCCTTCGTGTTAGGCCAGCCCTGGCCCAGTTGGGCAAGTTGGTTTCAGGCTGATTACAGCATTCAGTGCAGAACCTAGAAGTTCGTCTAAGTGTCCATGCACTGCTCAACTTTAAGGCCATTTAATGCTGGAGGCAATCAGGATGGGGGGTCTGGTTCCAGATTTCCTGGAGTGAGGATTAATCTAAGATTATGTGTATAAGGACATTTTCTATGGTTCTAAGGTAGGTTACAGACTTACAGTTATGAATGCTTTGAACTTGAATAGCCGCTAGGACTTTTCTAATGTCTCTTCCATACTGGAACAGTAACTGAGATTTTTATTTATCTACCAGAAGATCTTAAATTTCAAGGCCTAAGGAATTTTACTCCATCAACATTTGCTCTATAAGAAGTTTCTCCCTTTGTCCCCTTGGATTTTCAAGGTGATCCAAAATCACCCTAAACAATTATGATTAATCTCGCAAACATTGATGGTTTTCTTAGTAACCCATGTTAGCTTAAACTGCACTATAGCAACGGGTAAACACTAGATAATATCAAAAAATATTTTAGACTACACCGTAAGCAACGGATACACCTATATGCAAAAAATGCATGTCAACTTCAGTTCTTTCAAACAAAGGCTCAAAGCATATCCAAAATCAAGGGGAAACAAACTCATTGGCCCAATATTTGGATTGAACATAATGCATTTGAAGGGAAATGGTTTGCAAATCCCATCAAAACAGGTAGAATTTACATATCATTAAATATCATATTACCCCCAAAATGATTTGTGAATGAACTAAAACCTTAATTTTGAAGCAGTAACACATATCCAAACAAGTTTTACAAAAGAACACCCGGGCAAGCAAAACCAATCCTTTCATTTTAAACATTCCAAACACAAAAAAAGAATAACCGGCACCTACTAGTAAAGTAACACAAGCAAACAGCACCCACGATTCTCAAAAAGAAAGAAAGAAAAGCAGAAGACTTTACCTCCAAGTTGGTCGCCCCAAAACAACAACCTCGGATCATCCTCTTCCTCGTCAAACTCATCCCCATATCCAAACTCAGCGTCCCCACGATAACCTGGTTCACTCCCATAACCCGATTCATTTCCATTGGCTTCAGAGCACCCACCCACCCCAAACCCAACACCCACATTCTCCTTCTCCCCACTCCCCCCATCCCTCTCTCTCTCCCTCCTCGAATTCTTGGCCTCGCTCACATCCGAAGACCAGTTGGCGTCGCCGTTGCCGAAGAGCTCCCCGCTGGAGTCAGTGCCCATGGCGACGGGGAAATCGGAGCAGGTGCCGTGGGCGGCGGAGGCGCCCACGGAGCAGCAGCGGCGCGTGCCGCTGCGGTCGCTGCTGCGGCCGGAGACGGATCGGGAGCCGCGGCGGCGCCTCTTGCGGGCGAGGAGGCGGTAATTGGTGGTGCGGGCGGGGTTGGGGGCGGGGTCGTCGTCGGCGAGGGAGAGCTTGGAGATGTCGAGGGAGAAGGAGGTGGTGGCGCGATCGGAGAGGCAGGGACGCTTGTAGTAGTAGGGTTTGGGGGAGGCGGCGTTGAAGGGCTTCCAGGTGCGGAGCTGCAGCATGCAGGAGTCTAGGGAGTGGCGTGAATCGAGAGGCTTGTGCGACATGGATTGAGTCATCACTCGCAGATAGATCGCGGGGTTGATTGGGAAATGAGATTGAGAGAGAGTGGGGTGGGGTACTGCCTCTGCCTCTCTGCTTCTGCGGGATTTTGATTTTGATCACGGGAAAGGAAGGGAACGAAACTCAATACTGATATTTTGTTTCCACGACACTCTAATGGGTCCCGCTGCTCTCACTGCATCCACTAATCACTCTTGTCATGTCTTCTAATTCCAGCTTTCTTAATACTTCAACTTTAAACTTCAAACATACCGCTAAAAAACATTAAATTCAGATTTTTCACCACACTTTTTAAGCTATATTCATACCTATTTCTAGGTCTATTTCTTATTTTTCACGTGGAAATAGAGCTTATATCAATGACATGCACTTAATTAAACACAAGCCTCACGATTGAGATGCATTTATTATGTATTAATGCTTGATGTGAAAATTCTTTTTAAATTAATAATAGAAATTACAATGCCTACAATGAAAATCAAACTTTTTTTTTCATTTCTTTAACTTTTAATTATTATGTCAATGGTGGTAATTTAAACTTTCTTATTTTTAGCAATTTTTATTGGCTTCAAGAAAAAAAAAAAAAAAAGTCTTTGATATGATATATCCTTTGTAGTGGTTATGTTTATATGTATCTCAGAATAAAAATTTTACTAGAATAAATATAGTGATTGTCTAAATTCTAAGTATTTAAAAGTGTATCTTGCAACTTCTAACTATATCATTTCTATCTTATATTTGTATAATTCACATTTATGACTCAAGATTTATGGAATTATCACTAAAAAATCTCGAGGTAATTATCATTATCTTATGATATTTAATGGACTAATTAAATGCTCCTTTTTTGTCAAGGACGGATACATTCATCTTAGGTCTATGTTGATAAGTGACTAGAAAATATCGTTGCAACCAAGTCTCGTCGAGTAACAAAATACACATAGTTCTTAACCAAGTCTAAAGCACTCAAAGTGTATCTTGTCTCATATAGTCTTATCGTTCCTACCTTATACATATAGAATATGCATTCAATAATCTCAAGATTTATGGGATTATAATTGGAAGTCTTAGGGGTAATTATCATTACCTTCTTACAGTTAATGAGCTAATTAAAAACTCTCTTTTTTGGTTAAGGCTCGAGATGTTCATGTCAAGGTCAATACATGAAGAGTAAGTATTGTTGTAGTCAACTCTCATTGAGTAACAAGGTTTGTCTCTAGAAAACGTAAACTAAGAATGACAATTAAACTCGTATTCGTGGATAATGTTTGAATTTGTCCCAACTTTGACAAAGAATATCCGATTTGACCAAATACGATATGGATATAAGTAATACCTGATTGATTGAATCAGATATGGGGACTAGGATGGGTATATACATATCCATCCTGTAGCCATATGTGCTTTAAATTTCTAGAATTTTAATTTATATTTTTTTAGAATTTACTTGATATTTATGTAATTTTTACTCTATTTTAAATTTATTTCAAATGAAATTAAATTAATATAATTTTGTAATAGTTATTCTATATTGAAAATTTTGTTTTTTTTTAATTTTTTTTGCAAAAAGAATATTTAATTGTGTTTTTATTACAAAAATGGGATGACAGGTACAAGTATACTTGATACCAGACAAAGACGAGAATGAGATATAAATTTTATACTCATCAGGTATGGAGACGAAAATGGGTATAAGGTATGAGAACAAAAATGTGAATAAGGAAGAGGATATTGAAATTCGTAGCCATCTTGCTCATTATCATCCCTAACATCAACCATGTATGTTCTCAAAATTTTCCATCTCAACATTCTATCGGAAGGGCATAATATGAAAAAAAAATACTTTAATTCGAATTTTATATTTTTAATTTTTGCAAGACAAAAAAAATTGCATACATATATATATATATATATATATATATTAAAAATATACCAAATAAGGTGGAACACCTTTCCACAAACCAAATTTCTATTTTCGATAAGCTACATGTCTTTCAATGTTGAGATACTCTATTTCCACTTAGGGATGGCAAAATATGCTAGCCTAGCCCGTTTAGGTCTAGCATGCTGCTAGCTCACCAAAAACAAGTCGAGCTGGGCCAATCCTCCAAGAAAAAAAAAAGGGTTGTACACCTTGATCCACCTCGTTTGAGGATGTGTTGGGGGCCTAGCTCGCCAAAAATTAAAAAAAATATAGAAAAGGAGTTTACATAGTTATTTTTGGTATCTCTTTCAACATATTTCTTTCTCAATAGTTGGTTGAAAATTTTTTCTAATTAGTAATAAAGATTACAATGAGTTTGACGAAAATCAAACTTGTAATTATTTTTTTTTTTTGCATTTGTTTAACTTCTAATTATTTTTGTCAATTTTGGTGGTTAAAACTTTCTTACTTTTACCAATGTTTATTGGATTCAAGAAAAAATATTTCTAATAAAATATATTATCCTTATAACTATTATGTTTATAATGTATTATGATATAAGAAAAAATTACTAAAATAGACATGACGGTTGACCAAATTCAAAGTATTAAAAATGTATCTTGCAATATCTATCCCTATCGTTCCTACCCTATACTTATAGAATTTACATTCATGACTCTCAAGATTTGTGATAAATCTTGAGGTAATTGTCATTCTATTATGGTATTTAGTGAGTTAATTAAATGTTTTTTTTTCACCAAGAACCAAGGCGTTTATGTTAGGTTTAGATTGATACGTGATTAGGAAGTATCATTGCAGCCAAGTTTCGCCAAGCAACAAGTATACATGGTTGTTTACCAAGATCGGAACATTCAAAAGTGTATTTTGCCCCATCTAGTCTTGTCATTCATACCTTATACTTGTAGAATTTGCATTCAATAGTCTCGAGATTTTTAGGGTTATCACTAAAAATTTTAGGGGCAATTGTCATTACTTTCTGGCATTAATGAGCCAATAAAATGCTTTTTCTTGCCAAGGATTAAGATGTTCATGCCAGGTTTAGCCCAATATGTGACGGGTAAGTATTGTTGCATTAAGTCTTGTTGAGTAGTAAGGTTTCTCTTTGAAGGCATCGAACCATGTGTGTTCTTAAAATCTCCCATCTCGACATTTTGTTAGGAAGGCACAATATGATTTTTTTAAAATTACTTTAATTTGAATTTTATATTTTTAGTTCGTAAAAGACAAAAAAATTATATAATAATAATAATAATAATAATGACAACAATATAATAATAGTAATAATAATATACCAAATAGTGTGGAACACCTTTCCACAGATCAAATACCTTATTTCTAATAGGTCACATGTCTTTTAATGTTGAGATATATTATTTTCATCTAGGGATAGTAAAATAGGTTAGCCTAGTTTGTGTAGGTCTAACCTATCGTTAATCCACCAAAAACAGTCAGGTGAGCCCAACCCTCCAAGAAAAAAAAAGTGTTGGATGCCTTAACCCACCCCATCCAAGGATGGGATGATGGGCTATCCCGACAAAATTATTTAAAAAAAAAAGTTTTCATATTTATTTTGGATACCTCTATTCTTTTCTCAAAATTTAAAAGACTCACACAAATTAGTGTATCTAAATAACAAAATAAATATCAAATTACAACAAAGTTCATTTGGTTTGCTAATTGCTACACAACAAACTTTAAGTTTCTTGCATACTAAAATAAACAAGTAATTATAATTTAACAACTCTTTCGATAAATTTGCCACACAACAAATTTCAAATTATATATAATAAAATAAATTAAATATATAATATTTTTTTTGTACAATAAATCACAAATCACACACATAATAATTTTGATATGACTTAGTTAAATTTAACATTAAAAATAATAAAGTAAAATTTAAACAAACCAACCCTAACTCGCCATTTGATTTCACATGTTGACGAGTTAGATGGAATGGGACAAACGGATTAATAAGTTAAAATATTTAACCTAACTCACCAATTTTTAATTATGGACCATATCCCTTTTTGTCATTCACATTTCCACCTATGTTAATAACATGACCAGCAATTAAAAAGAAGTCAAACAGTAACTTTTATATGAGTCGTAGGTTTTACTAAGTACAATTTTTTAAATATTAAATTTAATAAAAAAATAAAAAATAATCAAAATTTAAATATTTAATAGTCTTATAATTATTTAAAAAAACTAATAATTTGAAAAAATTATTGATAGATTTTACATTCACATTGACAAGAGGAAAAAAGGAAGTAAAAAGAAACGAGGAAAAAGATAGCTAAAGATGGGAGAAAAGAGAAGAGAGACAAAGAAAAAATGGAAAGAAAAGAAAAAGAAAAATAATTAATAACTAATATTAAAACATAACTATATACACTTATTTTATGAGATGATTATTATTACTGCATTATATCACCTCCACCCATTGCCCTTATTTAAAAAAAAAAAATATTTACATAGGAAGAAACATGGATATAATATGTAGATTTTCACTACCAAGTGTATAAATGGATATATTAGAATATATCATAAACTAATTCCTATTGTATTTCATAGAGAATGAATATATTTCTGGCGTGGCGAGTAATTCCGCTGGCATACGCACACAACTTTACTCCCTTTCCGTTTTCGTCCCATGTACCAAGCTGTCTGTCAGTGAATTGAGTACCCAGTTTCAACTTTGATCCTGACCCGTCTCCTTTCTCTCTCTCTTTATTTTATTCCCTTATTATACCATTTTATTATAAAATTAAAAATAAGCCCAAAACGGAGATAGCAGCCGGTTGTAGTTGTATTGTATGTGAAAAATACAGCTGCACCACCTCGTATTTAAATATATATAAAAAAAAACAACACCTTCTTAAGCCCTCCATGCTCCATCATTATTCTAGTTGAGGAAGGAATCAGTAGCGAAACGACGATGGAAGAGAGCGTTTTCTCGTTGGTGAGCGACGACATAGTCCTGGCGATTTTCTCAAAGCTGGAGGACGATCCACGCCACTGGGCTCGCGTGGCCTGCGTCTGCACCAGATTCCTCTCCCTCGTCCGCCACTCCTGCTGGAGGACCAAATGCTCCCAAACCTTCCCTTCCCTCATCACCGACTCCCCCTCCGCCTCCACCTCCGCCTCCCTCCTCAAGCTCGCCGTCTGCTGCCCGGGCCTCCGCCACGCAGGCGTCGCCGCCAAAGGCGCGGACAGCCGCCGGCCGCATTTGGCGCGCGGGAACTGGGATCTGAGGCGGGAGCAAGGGTGCAAGCTTCTGGCCACGCAGTTCCGGCGCGACTCTCTCTACCTCTGCGACTGGCCTGGCTGCGTCCACTCCCAGGAGAATCGCAACTACATGCTCTTCAGAGGGCTTTTCCAGAACTTCAAAGCCACGCGCGTTTGGCGAACCATCAACGACGACAAGAGAAGGAAGATCCACGTGGAGTGCGCCTTCTGCACGTGCCGACACACGTGGGACCTTGGGTCTGCGTTCTGCCTCAGGCGAGGCTTCGGCTGCCACCGCGACGGGGAGCCTGTTGTTCGTGCCTTTGTTTGTGAGAACGGCCACGTTTCTGGGGCTTGGACTCATGTTCCCCTCTACTCTTAGATTTTCTTCGCCTTTCTCTTTCCTTTAATACTCTATTTCTTTCTGCTTTTATTACAATTTAGACGTTCTATAACATTTTCATTAATATTCAATAGCTGTAACCATCTTTCCTCTTCTCTTACGCAACCAAATTGGATCAATATCAACTTCCAAATCATGCTTCTGCAAGACTGCAATTCGGATTTTGATGCTCGCTTTATGCCTTCCAAGCCTCCAATCTCTTTTGCATCAGGTTCTTACATTATTTGGATTTTATTATTGGTGCCAATGCCAAATACTGTTAGTTAATTTTTTTTCTTCTTTAATTTATCTGTAGTTGGAGTGGAATGGATGTAACTCACTAAATGTGTGTTTTGTTTAAAATTTTGAACATGATAAATCAACAAGTCAAAATAAAAGTTATTAACTATAGCTTTTACTTTTTAAATGTAATTTTTTTTTCTTCGAATCACGATTTGGACTTGTTACCGAACATCATCAACGTGTATTTGCAAGCGGTAGAGTTAGGATAAAATGGGTAAAGTTATAATTTTTATATAAAAAAATACTAATATTTGAATTTTGTTTTTTTTTAAAGCAGGAATAAGTGGCTGATATTTTTTCTTTTTGTTTTGTTTTGTTTTTTGTGATCTGGTTCAAAGACAGGAAAATATGCAATGCTGCTGTATTTGACGAAATACTGAATTTGATTTGGGTGTCTATTTTTTTTTTAAATAGAAATCAAACGAAATTTTTACTTAAATAATATTTTTTTTAAAAAAATTACAAAAGTATTAACTGTGCAAGTTTATTTATCATTACTGTTCATGCTCAGAATTCGGTTCCTGGGAAACCGAATTCTGAGCTTCAAAATCTTATTTTTTTTGTTTTTTCAACTCAGAATTCGGTTCCCGGGGAATCGAATTCTGAGTTATTTAAAAAAAAAAAATTTCATGTTTCTGGCCCATTTTGGGCAAATGTTGAAAGTGGAACGGCCCGTTCCGGAAGCAGAACGGCCCGTTTTGCTTAAAGATAAAAGTCCTTTTTTTTAAAATTAAAACGGACCCTGAACGGCCCGTTCCAGAATAAAAAATTTTAACATTCTTTTGAATCTAAAACGGCCCTGGAACGGCCCGTTCTGGAAGATATTTTCAGGAAGTAGAACGTGATTTGGAACGGGCCGTTCTGGTTTTGGAACGGCCCGTTCTGGGCAAACAGTAAAAAAAGATTAAATTTTTTATTTATTTTTTTTTAAAAAGAAGATAATAAAGTTAAAATAATGGGATATTAAGCAATAAATAGGGAATATATTCTCTCCGACAATATAATTATCGGATAAAATTTTAACTATTCAATCAATTTTATTAAAATAATATATTTAGACAATCACTTAAGATAATATCTTGCGCTTAAAACGTACACTTATCCCTGAATTATAGGGAATATATTCTCTCCGACAATTTTAAGCGCAAGATATTATCTTAAGTGATTGTCTAAATATATTATTTTAATAAAATTGATTGAATAGTTAAAATTTTATCCGATAATTATACTGTCGGAGAGAATATATTCCCTATAATTCATGGATAATTGTACGTTTTAAGCGCAAGATATTATCTTAAGTGATTGTTTAAATATATTATTTTAATAAAATTGATTGAATAGTTAAAATTTTATCCGATAATTATATTGTCGGAGAGAATATATTCCCTATTTATTGCTTAATATCCCATTATTTTAACTTTATTATCTTCTTTTAAAAAAAAAATAAAAAATTTAATCTTTTTTTACTGTTTGCCTAGAACGGGCCGTTCCAAAACCAGAACGACTCGTTCCAAACCACGTTCTACTTCCTGAAAACGTCTTCCAGAACGGTCCGTTCCAGGGCCGTTTCAGATTCAAAAAAATGTTAAATTTTTTGTTCTGGAACGGGCCGTTCTGGGCCCGTTTTAATTTTAAAAAAAGGACTCTGTATCTTTAAGCAGAACGACCCGTTCTGCTTCCGTAACGGGCCGTTCCACTTCCAACATTTGCCCAAAATGGGCCAGAAACACGAAGAAAAAAAAATTAAATAACTCAGAATTCGGTTCCCGGGAACCGAATTCTGAGCTGAAAAGACAAAAAAAATAAGATTTTGAAGTTTAGAATTCGATTCCTCGATAACCGAATTCTGAGCATGAACAGTAAACAGTTTTATATTGGTAAATAAACTTGCACCGTTAATACTTTTGTAATTTTTTTTAAAAAAATATTATTTAAGTAAAAATTTCGAAATCAAACACTATCTAAATCTCGTAGTACTGTTCTTTTCTGCAATCTCACGTATTTCAAAATATATGCTTTCAACTTTTTTGTCTTGATTGGCAAGGTGTCACAAATACTGTGGGACTTTCGACTTTTTCAATACTGCTGTGTCTATGTTCAGTGTTAACGAAACGAATGATTTTATTTTTACTATTTTTTAAAGAAAGGATAGAAAAATTGGGGTGAAATTCAGTCTGGCTTTTCTATTTATACTGTAGATAAGATGAGTGTCAATTTTTATGGCTATCAGAATTTGGAGAGTCTGTATGGGTAACTTGTACGCAATGCTAACTTCAAAAAATCTAGTCTAGGTAGATTTTTTGGAGGGACATGGGAGATCTAAACTGTATTTAGTTGTGAAGAGGAAATAAAGCGGTGAAAATAGAAAAGAAAGAAAGAAATAAAAAAATATGATGAAAATGAGTTTATTTAATTTAAGAGAAATATAAATAAGTAATAGAAAAAATAGAGAAAAAAATTAGAATTAAATAAAATTATTATTTACCCCTTTAAAATTATTACATAGTATCTTTTTTTTTTTGTGTGTAATTGAATAAATTCAAATTTTATTTGAATAAACTAAACTTATTTATTTGGTTGTAATTGAATAACATGTATGATATACAATTACTATTAAATAAATTAGTTCTTACAAGTTGATTTATTCGATTAAATGTTAATCGATTACAACCAAATAAATTATTCCATGTAAGTTAGTTGATTTATTTTAATGATGTTTGATTTTAATTGAATACATTCTGCTTTAATTGAATACTAAAGATGCTATTTGAATACGCATTACAAATCTACACTTTCGTGCATGTTAAAACAATAATTATCATTGATTAAACAAATGCTTTAATTGATTATGGTTTTTACTTTTTAGATACGTCATTTTCGAATCCAAATCAGACCAAATACTTGAAACTCAAACTCATTGGTGCCAAAAAATCATATAATCACAAAATAATAATGTCAGACACCTCTCTTCAATTTAGCTGCTATTTTCTCTCACTCTTGCAAAGAAATTTTACTTTCTCACTTATCAAATATCAATTTTACCATACATATGAACTTATTTCTCGCCTCTTATGTTCACTATCTCTTCCATATTTCATTTTATATATACCAAATAGTGCTAATGTTGTGATTCTATAGTTCTCCCCTGGCTTTACAGCTTGTTGTCGACTCTTTCTTTTTGTGAATGAAAAGATCAATGTTGGTCTATATATTGCCAAACTCAAGTATGTGAGAGTGAGATGTTTCATTCTAAATCAATGTTACATTGGTTTTGAATTTTTTTTTTTTTGAGACGGGCATGTCTAAAAGAGAGCTAGGAATAAATTAAGAAGTATGCAAAAAAATTCAAATCGATCCATAGTTGATCGATCCATCTTAACAAATATGATTTATTTTGAAAAAAAAAATTCAAATCAAGTTTCTTTACTGATTCATATATGAATATAAAATGGAAAAATGTTTCAAATTGATATAGTTCAAAAAAATTGATCATGTTTTTTAAAAAATAAACCAATCCATTTTATAAAAAACGGATTGAATTTGGTTTGAATTTTTGAAAAATTATGGAGAAATGGGCTGTTTGACCCTATTTGACTTGATCCACCAAGTTAGGATGTGAAATTGGGTTCGGCCGAACTACATTTTTTATTTGGATCCTTGGGCTAAATTAACTATAATTAAAAATAATTTTAAACATGCTTGTTATAAAATTCTAAAAATAATTAAATTTACTTGGGCTATTCTAGTTTTACAAATGTGCAATTTTTGTGTCCAATATTTTTTTATTGTAAAATTTGCTTCTAATAATTTTTCAAATTAAGTAATGTTGGTATAACATTAACATATAATTTAAAATTAAACATAAAATGTTAACGTATTCGTAAATGATACTATTTGACATAGTCATGTTAGCTTCCATGTAAGAAAAGTATCATTTTTATTATTATTATTACAAATATGCTATTTTTTTATATTTCAATTAGAATTTATAACCCATTAAAAAAACCATTAACAATTTTTAATATTATTATGTATGTAACTAACTATAGTTAATATCACTTACGAACATTCATCTGTATTTTATATTTAATTTTGAATGACATGTTAACGATTAACCAACGTTACTTAATTTTGAAAGTTAAGAAGATCAAATTTATATAAAAGATTTTGAGGATTAAAATTACAAATTAACGAAACTATTATGATTGAAAGTGGATTAAGATTTTATATATATATATATATATATATATATATATATATATTAAAAAATTACATAGTTACTTAGATCGAATTTAATAGATTTCTTTGATTCATGATATATACACTTACTTTTAGTGTATTTGTTAAAAAAGGAGGTATATATATGATAAGTCATTTTTTTCTCATCATTAATTATCGGTACAAATCTAGCCCATTGGGACAATTGGGTTGCGCCAATCAAGTCTCTCTCTTTTCTGACCTTTATGTTGTTGGCCTGAACTCAAATTTAAGGTCAATATGAGCACTTAGTTAGGTAATAAAAGATTTAGAAAAGAAAAAATATAGAAGAGAGGAGAGAATGAATAGAACATAAGAAGGTTTTTAAGTTATTTGGTTTTAAAGAGATATATGAAAGAAACGGAAGAAAAAAAAAATAATTGTGATCAAAAGACATGTTCATCTTTTTCTAACTATCTCACAAGTTTTTTTTTTTTTTTTTTTAACTTTTTGGCAAAATCTCATTGCTCATGAAAATATTTAATTTTAATATGAACCCCACAATTTTTTTCTTTCTTCTCACACTTTTCTATTTTTTAAGATAGTTAAAAACTCGTATATTTTTTTACACTTCTGTCTCACCTACTTCTCTCTTTCCCAAATTTACCTAAATAAACATCACTATCAAAGTTTAAATTTTAGATTTTCATACAAATTCTAAAGGTTCATAATTTTATTTTCAACAAATTACACAATTTGATTTCCTAAAGTTATTTAAATTACATATAAATCACTGATTTTTGTTATGTGACAACAACCTATCTTATAAAGATATATGGGTGGCAAATGGATGAATCAAATAATTTTTTAGGTGCATCATAATGGATTGAATAAAAATAATTTATTTAGAT